TTAGAAGTTTATCAAAGGCTGCACACATATTCATCTCATTTTAAAAAGGAGTTGAGGAAGCTTATGAATTACTAAATAGGGCCACAGACTTGACAGTGAGCTTCCTAGGAGCTAATAATTCAGTCTATAAGGAGCATATCACTTGTTCCCAACTTCTTTTCCTAGTCAAAAAATTAGAAATGGCTTAACATGAGAAATTATTCAGAGTCTCTAAATTCATCACTTCTAGTTCTTGCTGTCCTTTTCTAGATAAAAATAAAAGGGCATGATATCCCTTTCTTTTTGTGGTATATATTTCCTGGAATTGTCACATCACTGTTTATTTGGGCTATAATTTATGTTAAGAACTGACACTGAAGATTTAAACTATATGTCTCTCAAAATGTTTCATAATTTCTACTATGTGCTCCTATGCCAACATAAATGATTATATAGTAAATGCCTTTATAATAAAAAACCTAATAATTTTTAAAAGCCCGAAGCCAACAACATTCAATTCTATACAAATTTCCATTGCAATTAACAATTCTGGATAGTCTCTGAAACTGACTGAATAACTAACATTCTTTTCTTTTGTATTTATATTCATGGCCTCCAAGTTCTATCAATTCTTCTTTCCTAAAGCCTCTTTGTAACTTAATTATAAAAACAAGGAATTGCAGTCAACCACAGTAGTATTTCTAACCGGAGCTTCGAACCAGTTCTGCCCAGTTCAGTCATGGCCGAGGAGGTGACACCACAACAGACTCAAATTTTTAAAATTTGGATGAACCAGAACGATAACTGGAACGGGAAAAATTATGGGTCAAAGCCCTGCTAGAAACTTAATCTCCCTCTTAGAAAACAAGGGCAGAGTATGCACTGCATAGTAACCAAATCTCTTGTCCACTGGACTCTGAGCAGAGTTGACAACAACGCTGCCTAGCTCAAAGGTGGCAACAATGCGCCTCTTTGAATGCGTTGCTCTCCACAGTCCTGCCAATGAACCAATCTCTTGCATCAGGCTCCTGAAAGGGCTCACCACGCCTCTTCCGAGTCTTCCATTCCAGGGCTTCGACTCGTAATTTCTCCCTTTCCAGTTATTGCTCTGGTTTACCCAAATTTTAAAAATTCAGGTCTCTTCCAGTTTCACTTCATCGGCCATGACTGAACCGGTTCAACCCCCTATTTCTAATCAATTTAGACATACTTCTTATAATATTGCTTCTTGAAGTCTCTTCTACTCCTCCCTTCTATTTCATTTTCACTAGTAATGAACTAGTTCAGGTCTTTCTCCTCTCTCAAAACTATTGCAAAAGCTCTCTAAATAGTTCACCAATTTTTCTCTCCAACCTATCTTGAATACTGTCACAATTCCTCTTTCTAACAGTTCTTTCATGATGCCACATCTCAGTTCAATAAACCTTCAATAGCTGCCTAATGCCTACAGCAGTACTTCAGGACAGGGGTGAAAAACAATGAAATAACTTTGTATTTCAGAAACAACAATAAAAACATTTTTGGTTTCATAATATAAACTACCAAAAGCAAGATGCACCGTGGAGCCATCTAAGATACTCCACTGGTCTCACCCAGTCAGGAGCAAGGGAGAATGAAGAAAACTAAAGACACAAGCGAAAGATTAGTCGAAAGGACTAACGGACCACAGCTACCACAGCCTCCACCAGACTGAGTCCAGTACAACTAGATGGTGCCTGGCTACCACCACCAACTGCTCTGACAGTGATCACAAGAGAGGGTCCTGGACAGAGCTGGAGAAAAATGTAGAACAAAATTCTAACTCACAAAAAAAGACCAGACTT